CATGCTCCATGGACGCCATTCTCCCTTACAGGCCTGATGTTTCCGAAGCGACGCCTGTTTCCGAAGCAGCTGCTTATGTTGAAGAGTGTCGTCAACTCGCTCGCTCATTTACCGCACAATACCAATGGCACCAGAAAACTGACCACGATTCCTCTGCGTCTACTGTACACTATAACCCAGGAATGCTGGTTTGGCTCTGGGTCCCGTCTACCCCTCCCGGTCTTTCCCCGAAGCTTTCGTCGAAATACTATGGCCCCTACCGTGTGGTGCGGCAAACATCTCCTGTCAACTATGAAGTTGAGCCCATTGATCCACCTTCAGACCAACGCTGCCGTGGGCGTGAAACAGTACACGTATCACTCCTCAAATCGTGCTATGAACCCCTTGTCGTGTCCTTTTCCTAGGTCGCCAGGTTGGCTCCTTTCTGCGCGGGGAGTAATTGTGCCGAAGCATAGTGGCGCCAGCTCTGTGACAGCGTGAAAGAAGACGTTGACGTCCGTGTGTGGCTCGTGCTTGCCGGGTTCCTGCGTGTACCAGCTTGTTGCGGCTAACGTTTCTGGAATAATAACCTGTGTTTTTACGCAACCTTGCTCGTTGCAATATATATATATATATGCCCGGCTCCAAACCTAGGGTGTCGAGCATGTTGCTTCGTTTTGCATTTTCCCTGCGTGGACTGGACGGACTTAATGTCGATTGAGAGACACGTCGAAGTGCTTTCGAGCCGGTAACTTCACTACGAATAGAAAGGTGTTTCAATAGGAAAAAAGTAAAACTACAAAAAGACCAGTGTTGCTATGTTTTGTCGGTACGGACTGAGCTGCAGGTTAGCTGGGAAAATAAGGCAGCAATATCTCCTAACTAAACTCACTAATTTCAAGAGCTCATTAACGTATAAAAGCTCCTCAAAATATCAGCGGGTAACATAATTTTCCGACCACATTACAGCATGAAGAAATTTGTTTTTACAGTTATGAAGTGTCGCATATGGCGTGAAAAATGAGGTTGAGCCCTCTAGATTTTCTCTTTTAAATCCACAATCAAAAGGTAAACTGTACCACGAGGTATGCTGTGCCAAGCCATCACGCAGCCGCTCTTTATTTGGTAGGACATCGTATAACAAAATACAATATTCTGTGTTCTCGTTACATTTTAACGAAAACTTGAAATTCAGCGACATGGTGCATACCCCTCGAGAACTTTTCAGCTCTTTCGAATGCATCAAGAAAGCATTAAAAAGCGCCCATTGGATCTATCTTGTTCTTGGGAATATTTTGTTTGGCACTCCAAATTCCCCATTCTCTACAATTATTCATCGAAAAACTGGAGTGGCATCTATGGACGCAAGCGGTTCAATGCAAGAGAGTGAAGGGGAGCTTGATGCTACCACTTGTGCTGCTGGAATCCTGCTCTGTGGCCTTTTAATCCACACAAATGATTAAGCGGGAGCACTGCGTTCATTCTGCGTTGATTAGGTCGGTAATTCTGAATCGAAGTCAATGTTATTCACAATGTCGCTTGAAATAAATTGGAAGATTCCACGTGCAGAAGAAATCGAGGATATGCAAAGCACGGCTGAGAAAGCGTTATATGTCATTTTAAAGTCAGCAGACCATTACGAGGTTCACGTAAATTAGTCCGTACATGACTTGCGTGTCATGATTATCATGTTTGAATGCGTCGTTTACTTTCGTCATTTATTCACGTCACGTGATACCAAATTTAGTAATGTAGAGCAAGCGAAACATTCACGAGAACGCTATGAGCGTGGTTGGTATATTGTCATGTTCTTATATGACACGCGTGTAAGGATTACCACGTTTGCACCAGTCATATACTTTCGTCATTCACTGACGCCACGTAACACCAAATATTGGTATATGTGGAGCTGTGAAAACGGCTGCTGTGAAAACTATGTCACGCAGTTGGCAATTAGCGGCGTGAAATTCAGGCACGTAGTATGACAAGACATAGAAAATGTTCAAGAGAGAGGGAAACAGGGAGTAAATATTTTAGTAGGCAGAGGAGGAGGAGGAAAAAAACCTTTATTGATGCTGGCTGTGCCAGATAGCCCTTATCCCCACCGGGCTGGTTGACATCCCTAGTCCGGGACGTCATTAGTCGAGGCCGCCACCCGAGCCCGCTGGACTAGAGTTCGCTGTTCCTCTAGTGTGGAGCTATTGAGTAGGGTCGTCTCCCAGTCCTCTTTGGTGGGGTTGGGAAAGGGGGTTCATTATGGGTTCATTTTGCAGGCCCAGACCATATGGTAAGTGTTGGCCACTTCCCCACAGTACTGGCACTGCCCACTTATTTTTGGGTCGTAATATTTGACTATGGCTGGACAGACTAGCGTCTTTGTCTGTATAGGCGCCGCAAAATGCGCTCCTCCGTTTTCGAGAGTCCCTTCGCTAGTGCAGGGTACAAGCGGCGTTGCTCAATGTAGTATTCTTTGATTTCTCGAAACCATGTTAAAGGTGTGAGACGTTCAGGTCTATCAGGGGAACGGGGAGTTTCCCGGGAAGTAAGCACGCGGGCCGCTGCATGTGCAGCCTCGTTACCCTGTAGACCCTGATGTCCCGGAGTCCATATAAGACGTTTTGGGGTAGGGTCGTGGTTACTGATGCTGAATTTTACAAGTCTATTAGCCAATGGAGAAATTTCTCCTGCAGGATAGCTCTCGCAGGCTCTTGGAGAGTCTGTAACTATTTGTTTTGAGTTTAGATGGGATACTGGCAGTGCAATGGCCACCTCCTCCGCCTTACTTGAGCTTGTGGCTTCGAAAGTGAGGCCGTCCACCTGCGTTCTTTGATGTATTACCGCCACCGTGTAGTATCCCCTAGGTGACGGCCCAGCCACATCGACGTAATAGACCCCATTACGGGAGCCAAGCCGTTGTTCAAGTGCCTCAGCGCGTGCTTGCCTTCTACATTGGTGCGCCTCCCTGGTCATATTACGGGGAAGCGGGGACACCCAGAGTTTTGTTCTCCAAAGTTCAGTAATACGCTCCGCGTTTGGATTTCGCATTCGTGTCACTTCAAGAGGCGGTCCAGTAGGCGCCGCCCGGGGGGCGTCTGCGTAAGACGCGTATATTGATTTGTGAGGTCGGCTTCTTGGAGCTCTTGTATAGAGTTAAAGACTCCCAATGCAGAGAGTTTCTGATTTGAAGTGCTGATGGTTAAATCAAGTGCGCGCTTAATTACTTTCCTAAGAATAGTATCGACTCTGTTCTCTTCGTGTTTAGTCATTCGTATAGTAGGCAGAGAAGACGACCCGAACTAGGACGCTCTCTCCTGCTGCTCTGCGGAAAGAAATGGGGAAGAAGAGTAAAGTGATAAATTGGGCTCATATGAAGAGGAGAAGGGGCGTTTAGGTTGAATTCTCCAAAAAAATGTTGTGAATGTCTAATGACATACCGACGCACCTTATCAGAACTGGCCTCGTAGCAGTTGGAAAAATGCCGGCTCACGCATTGCTGACAAAAGACCATTCTTGCTTAATGTTTGGTGCACCTATGCCTGGCGGCGTTGAAGTCAACATTTTCTATTACACGTAGAGTGAGCCATGGCAACATAAATACGTTGTCCTTCTACGCACAAGGCAGCATTCACAGTTGACCACGCGGCCGACAATGTGTCCTTAGCGGTGAGTAAAGACGAGATTCAGTGACTGCGTGCAGTGACTTTATAAGAGCAAAACCATCATTTTCATTATTTAATTAAAAGAAGAAAGTGGGTTTTACGTTTAGCAATGTTTGGTAAAAAACAACTGTCGCGAGGGCGTGTAGTGTTTTTCCGTGCTCAGTCCTTCACCGGAAAGGCGCGAGTATGCTTCCTGTACGCACCCATCACATTTTGATAAAAAAGTGGTAGAGTTTTGTGTATGCTGCGTGATTTCGCTGCGTGCTTCGAAGTCATAGGCCAGCGGATTTATTTAGAGCCTTTACTGCAGCTTCTTTCGTAACCTAAATAACATTGGGACGGTAATCTCGGCAGCAAACCATTCGCAACGGAGCATGATATTTTGTTGGTATAGAGAAGACCGGTAGGCCCAATCCCAAAAGATAGTGCAGCCTGAGACAACGCCCGAAACTACGGTTCATTCAGACATTCAAACAAGTTCATTCGAGCCTTTTGCCAAGCCCAAATTATTTCTGAGTAAGTTTAAGATTCAGCAATATTTGGCTAGTGCAATGCATTTGAGGTAGAAGAAAGAATCTAGAAAGAACTTCATTGAAACCTTATAAAGGCACGTTTCTCTTCCCTAGAATTTGTTACTTTATCAAATATTTTTAACCTAATACGCTCTGCATAACAGCTGTTTTGTGAAATATACCTAAAATTTATAAATTTGAGGGTTTATACGTCAGAATGAGCTATTTTGTGATGCTTCATAGTTAACTGAATTGTGGCTCGCACAATGTTACACGTTCTTGGTTTTGTGTGAGATTCAACTTCATAGGAAAGTGAGGCTTGCTTGAATTTTCTCAGTGCGACCAGAAGCATTAGGTAATATTTTCTCCAACGTTCCTACACAGCTTCGTAAGGCGCTATGAGAAGGTTGGTAAAGCTGTGAGAGTCGTCGAGTACTTCGCCACTCATGGCTGGCTATTCAGGACGAATAATGTCCAGAAGCTTCTATGTGAACTCTCCAGCACAGATGCGAAGGTAAGTTCAGGTAAGGCTTACACTCAATTGAGCAACGGAACCACAATCACAAAAGGTATTCCTACTGGGCGAGGACTGAAAAAAATGGGAAGCGGGGAAGAAGGGAGGATTGAGTTTGAACAAAATCACGGTGAAGGTGGCGTATTGAAAAAATTCATTTTCCATATCCGGTATACAGTTTGTTTTTAAAAATAATTCAGGGCTACGTCTCTAGGAGCACAGTGGTACCAAACTACACAACCGAAAACCTTAACCCCACTCCTGAAGAAGCGTAAGGTGGGGTAAAATGCGATAAAAATATCATTTTTAAAAAGGTAATATTACTTTGCAGTTTTTCACTCGTTACAAGTAAACATCAGCACAGAAACGTTCCTTCGGGTACAAGGTATGTACTAAAGAAATATTATCATGTTTCCACCGTCCAAAACAATATTTTTAAAATAAGTTATAATTTCTCCACGTGTCTCACTTCGCCCCAACCTGCGGTGCCAAACGAGATGCTGTGTGGGGCAAAATAAGACAATCTAAAAAACGAATTTCTTCAGTTCTTGCAGTAGAGACTTGAAATTCACTCTGTGGGCAATCAAGCAGTCTTAAGGAGCCAAGGCCTTTGATTTCATGCATTGCATTTATGCAGAATGTGGTGTTCTGTTGCTCTGAAACTCCCTGCAGATAAACAAAAAACAACGCCAGTCTTTCTTTCCGGTACAGTTGTTTTCTTGAACGCTTGTACATCATTGAATTATTCAACAAATGCAAGCTAGGTATGTTTTGAAGTATTTTGTGCACCTCTTTTTGTCATTTTGAATCAGAAAACCTGAAGCGCCTCCGATCCTAATGCATTTAAAACTGTACTAAATTTATACTTTCAAGCGCTTTTTTTCAATTATTGTATAAAAAAATTCTTTAAAACTCAATCCTAAGACGTGTTTGTGAACGACTTGGCTTGGAGATTCCGCCATTTTTTGTGCGTGTCTTGAGAGCACGCATCCTTGGGAACACGGAAAACTTGATAGACAACAAATGAACGCAGTGATGTCCTGGACGGCAATCAGTGCTTTTAAAGACGATAGTCTTTCTTGGGCATCTTCCACGCAAAAACTTTGGTCTGTCTGTCTGTCTGTCTGTCTGTCTGTCTGTCTGTCTGTCTGTCTGTCTGTCTGTCTGTCTGTCTGTCTGTCTGTCTGTCTGTCTGTCTGTCTGTCTGTCTGTCTGTCTGTCTGTTGGTCTGTCGGTCTGTACATATGTCTGTTTGTCCACCGTTACTGCAAACCGGTTACTCGAAACAGCCCCAGCCGATACCCCGAACAGCCCACCCCATCCGCAGCGCCCACCAATGTTGCTCAAGAATCGGCGTTTATACGTGTGCGATTGTCAATTAAAAAACAATTATTGCACATATCTGAGGCACCATAACAACAGATATATATTCTGCCTGTTCATCTTTTACTAGCAAAGGCAAATATAAGTAATTCTAAGGGCCGTAGCACTTATCACGCTGCGCTGACCATGCAACGGTTGCACGAAGAAGCGACTGTTTCCAACAGTATGCTAAGACGACACGGTAATGGCACCTACCCGTCGCCTTGCGTTCTACACCTTATCACCTCTGAGACGGGCGCGCACGCCCGTCGCAGGGCCACGCGCTTTGTTTTCCAAAAAGAACTGCCAGATGGCACTCATGTCTCACGTGTGACGTGATTTGATGCGCCAGTTCACCTCCACTGCACGATCGAGGCACTCCAACGCAGTGCTTCCGGAATACTATTCACCGATTTTCTTGCGCAGAATATCAAACAAATGTTTTGATCACTCTTTCCGCACGCAAAACTATCGTCTTTCTACGACATTTGCAGATTAAATGCAGGTATGGGGCCAATTGTTTATGCCGTTTTCCTCAAAAGAAGCTCTATGGGACATTCTGTTGTATGCCGAAGGCCTCCTAAACAATGAAACTATACATAATGAGTGTAAGTGAAAGGTTCCATTGATCAGGCACTCTCTGAGGCTATTGGGCGCCTTTTGTCGCGTGTTTCCCACCTCACATGCCATGAATAAAAAAAATGCTTCTACCAAGGGCACTAAACGCACTACTTTTGGTGTTACGTAGCTGGTAGTGTGAAGTCACCATATATATATATATATATATATATATATATATATATAATGGTGACTTCAAAAACTAAAACAAACTAAAATGTTTTCAGATCGGTTCTGCCCACGCAGCTTATCCACACAAGGTGATTAATGATTTACGATACATGAGAAAATTTAGGGAGAACCATTTACCAGTGTCGCAAACAGTCACAAAACAATGAGAGAAGTAGGCGATTAAGCCTGTTGTTTGTGGGCTGTGTGTTTGAGACGCTTTCAATATACCATAAAATAATGCACATGAACAAAACTGTGTTAGGATTAATTTCATTTTGCCCCATATCAACCGAACGCTTTCCTGTAGCATAAAGCTACGTCCCCATTCGTTATTAGTGAATAGATAAACCAATGATGTAATTGCGTTAAATGCTGTCCTTACACTTTTGAGATAGACTCACGACACAACATGTGCTGTGATATCCCGAAAAGTATTTTTAGGGGGTATCTTAATATTTCAGCTGTTCAACTTCGACGTGCAAGCCATCGAATGGAGCCAATACTGGCAAAACTACATACTTGGAATCCGCAAGTATTTGTTGAAGGTAGAAGAGTCCAAAGAACTAGAAGCACGGAAACACCTGGGACGGTGAGAAACTCTCGAAACACCACGAACTTCTAAAACCTGTAGTGTCTATAGTGACTGAAGGATAGAAGTGTCTATTGACTGCGAATAAAGGCATGAAAACTTCTCTAGACAAATCAGACAACGAGTGTGATAGGTGCTGGAAATATTTTAAAACAACTGTAATGCTCTTGCTACAGGCTTTAAGCGCTTTTTAAAAACTATGAACCGAGAATAAACGGGTGTCCTCACTAACGTTCCCTGGACACACATAGCATCTTTGACAACACTGTCAGACTTCCGTACGCGCGTAGCATGAAGTCTTTGCATGCAACATTGGCATAGCTTCCTTTTAACTTTAACTCCTCCCTTCTGTGCCTTTTGGTTCGCACAGTTATAAACAATTGAAACGCGAAGAACGTACGTGTAACAAAAAAAATAATTCTTTGTTTTTGTCAATATTCGTATTCTTGGTGTGATTATGTCTTCCACATTTTGTTCAGGGACAAAACATTCATTTGAAACATTTGTAAATTCACAATTTGGCACTGAATTTAGCACTTACAGAAGCTGCTCCATTTTGTATTGCCTTCATGATGTTTCATTATTTGTGATTGGGCGTAGCACTTTTATAAGAGAAAGCTGACGTAGAGTGTGAGACTGAAAAGTTATAAAGGCATGGCTGCATCACCTAAATTCAAAAAGGCAGTCTCGTCTTGACTTGCAGTCAGCATATCACACACATGTGCTGATGCTGAATTTGTTCTTACTGAACTCATAAGTATCAATAAAAAAAGAAAGGTAATATAAAAGTAGTCTGAAACATAAGAGCTTGTCCGTATATCATGCGTTATGCTTGCAAGAATCTATAAATTTAACGTGATAGCGTTAAAGAGGTCGTGTCGAAGAAAACCCGCTGCTGGCGTCGGCCCCGTTGATTGAGAGCGAAAAATCGTCTGTGCGTTTGTGACCGAAAAATCTAGTTACCGATATAGCCACGGGAGGCCGATACTTATCTACGCGTGCGTGCGCGATCACACCGAAAAAGGCACGCAATGGAAGAAAATAGGGCTCAAGATCATGAGGTGCGGTAGTTTCCTTGCCCTGCCACCCCTCCTTGCTTAGCTTCCAGCGCTTTCGTCAGGATGAGAGAAGAAATAATGCAATTGCAGCATGCCACAAACCTTTGTAACTCCACTCGCCCTGGACGGATTCTTAAAATTTTTGCAGCGTTGAATTCGTGATGCTATACGCCCTTCTAGCGAATTCATTCCATGGATACTTGAAAAAAGTGTTTTAGGGCCCCTTTAAGGCATTTTGTTCGACAAGTGTCACGGCGAAAACGAGCCCATTCGGCGATAACAGCGCGCGCTGGTCCAATCTACTCTGTGCGTGTTTGTGTGTGCGTGTGTGTATGTAACATAACATATAAATAGGTATGCACTTTGCGGTTGAACGGTGCACTAGGGACCGCATCAAGCTATCGTGTTCAACTTCTAAAGGCGAAGCTTAAGGGTGCCCAAATTTTTGGTAAGCCATGCGAAAAACAGATTTTTCAGTGCGTTCGCGAATTCTGAGATAAGCGCTTTTGGCAGGAGCACTTTCAGCCTGTACTCCTTATGTCACGGAAACACCTGCTCTACAGCCAGTGATGACAGAAGTTGTAATAGTGTATGCCATTTATATTGTGCGATTTATATTGAAGATATCATTTGGAGATTCCGTTCTGTTCCAGATGCTATTTTATAGAAGATTCGATTTTCATTGTGTACACTCTGCAGCGTCATAAAGAGCCCATGCCTTAACGTAGTGACAAAAAGTGACGGAAAAGCTGCGGTGGCTTGCCTGTGTGCTTGTAAGATCCAAATTGTGAAAGGCCTGTTCCATTAAGTGCAACTTCAGTTGTTGTTTGGCATTCTAAACGCTGAAAAGCAATTTACGGCTGTTTTGTGTTGTCCAGGCGTCACATTCACCAGAGCGTCCAGACTTATGCTAGACTTTACTCGAGTATAGGCCAAATCTAGTCGCAGTAATACCTTAGCCACTAGACCACCATGGTGGGGTTGACCCGCAGGTCGCGGGATTGAATGGCGGCTGCACCGACTGCATTATCGATGGAGGCGAAAAGGCTGTGGAACCGTGTGCTCAGATTTGGGCGCACGTTAAAGAATTTTAGGTAGTCTAAACTTCCGGAGCCCTCCAGCACAGCGTCTCATAAACATATGGTAGTTTTGGGACGCTAAACCCCACATATCATCTAGTCGCAGTGATGACAGTACGGTAAGCAGAAAGTGCAGAAAATAAATAATAGAAATTATTTCTAAGGTAGTATTTTGTAGATCTACCTCCAGTTCAAGTAATGGACTACGGTGGGGCAGGCTTTAGGAAGAAGTCACGTGAGCCCATCTTCTAAGATCAGCGTATTCTAAAAATGCAAAAGCAACCGACCTTTCTTCTAATGCCTAGTTTACTGATGACACAAAAGCAAGGCTAAGTTGGGTCTGAGCGTCAGAAGTGCTGTAATAGCCGTACTGGTGAATTTTGAAGGGTTATATGGTTGCTTCTAGATTGTTTCTAGTTTTTAGATAGGGGACGCGATTGGTTTTCACTTCTTTCTTAGGTTTTAGCTGGGTGATGCTATAGCGTGTTTCTAGCTTAACTCTCAGCGCAGAAAGGTTCCAACTGTGCCGCAGACAGTCACAGACACGACACGGCCGCGTCGTCGTAGCCCTTCCATCACCGATGATAGTTATAGCGCGAGGACAAAATTACGACGCAGAGACAAGAAGGACACGAAAGGCACATGTCCTTCTTGTCTCTGTGTCGTCGTTTTGTTCTCGCGCTTAACTATCGTCATGCCATACCAACTAGCCCAAGCTGTCACACTTCTAAGTTACCTTCCATCGCTTCGGGTTATCGCAACCGCCATCACCTTTTCCGCTCACTAGTATTTTTTCGTCGTCTCGGTGTCTTCGGCTCGTACCCGTTTTTCAATATGACAAACATTCTGCAGATGGTAAACAAGCAGTGATTCGCTAAGGCTTTTCGCTGCCAGAACCAATTCTATACCTTTTCGCATTGTTTGGTATTGTTGCTGCCACAGTGCTGACAAAACTCGGCGCCTAAATATGAATATAAGCCGTTAGTGCCTGCCTAAAAGGCTGATAGGTATAAATAGCGGATGATGAGAGAAGGTGCTTTGTGGGAATGTTAGTGAGCCTGCTCACTGGAGTTACAACTGAGTGCGTATACGCACAACGGTCATGGCTGACGTGGATATCTGAACGATGACTTCAGTTCGCTAAGGTACGAGTTATTGCAAAAGCATAAGCTGAAAAGCAGCGGCGTTGTGGCTTTGCGTGAATATGAACACGGAGCACTATACGAGTTATGCTCGTTATTCCAATTCTGTCTAAAACAACTTTAGAACATTGCTAATGCATATCAGTGTGGAACTGCTTGCTTTACAAATTCAACATTTTCTACTGCATATGGAGATTGATAGAGTCCTTATTTCCCTCAACTACCTTGAAAAGGCGGGTTCTTTGGCAATAAGCTTTAAATGAAAACAGAATTTGATATAACAGTTGAATCATCGTGTTTTGGTCTTTGCAGACTGTACGTTATGCACTTAGTATTCCAAGCACTGCTGCTCATGTTTGTCTGGTGGCTTATGCGGACGAGCACAGCGTGGAACCTGTACTCCTTCGTGGCGATGACTGCAAGAATGACGGACCAAACGCTACTGCACCTGTTGAATATGCTGCCAAAGTAGTGACAAGCACTGTGACAACGTATTAATTTGCCGGCAAGCTCTCTTCAAGTGGTCCACAACAGAAGGCTTCGTGGATCGATAGCTATAGCCCTGTTGCGACGTTCATAGCAAAGCGGAAATAAATATTCGTAAGAAATGTTGCGAAATAAATGTCAATTTATATGCTGGGTATTGCCAATGGAAATGAGCACCGTGTTTGGTGTTCTTTAATTGTATACTATTTACTCAACGGAACAAAAAAAGAAATTATCCTTGACTTCTCATGTCGTTGTTTGAACAATCTTTTTTCTCTGCGGCTAACAACAGAGTTGACTAGAAGCAACATGGCCTGAAGGTGGGCATGGCTGGTGATTGCAGGTAAGCCGTCTTGTTAGCTGAGCAGGCTGGGGTGTTGTGCTGCTAAGCTCGAGGTCACAGGTTAGTTTCGTGGCTATGGGTGACCGCATTGTGAGAGAGAAAGGTAGCGAAATTCGCTATGTTTTATGGTAGCTAAGTGGGATAAGATTACCAACATTGCCTCCATACTTTCATTTCTTGCTTGTTTTCTTTTTGACGCGAGAAACTAGACTGATCATAGCGAGGCAAATATCTATATAGTCTGTTGCACTTAACGAAGACAATAATAGCTGGGATGCCACAAGCGCTGCCTCTTTTTACCATTGCAAGTTATTCTTGCTAATTACCGCAATGTGGTGAAGCAGTTTTGAAAATTTTCCTGCAACTGGGTTAGTGGTCAATTTACCCTTCAATAACCCGTCCTGCACCTTGTGGTCTTTTGCATAAGCGACTGACAAAATTTAGTTTCCACGTGCTTCAAACTGCCTACAATAGCGCACAAGCTGCCAATTTCAAGTATCAAGCAAGCGAAAAAAACTTGAGTTACTACTACGAAAAAGCCTTGGCACCACGTTAAATCCTGGGGCCAAGACGAGTCTTTGCAACAAGGAGCATTCTCTCGGAGAAATCTGCATTGGTTTCCTTGTAGCTAAGTTGTAGAAACTGGTGGCTGTTATTTTTGTCTTTCAGGTTTTCGACATCAAGCATCCGGCATCCAGACATAAATTTCGACATGCGACTTCGTTGGATTTACCAAGTTGTTTTCAGTGATAAACAAGCCCTCAATCTATTGTCTTTTTTCTCCGGATAGCAGAAAATCAAAACATAAAGAAAAGATGAAGAAGTTAAACTACAGAGGGAGAGAACAAATGTAGGAAAGGTAGGGAGGTTAACTAGACTATGCGTCCAGTTTGCTACCCTATACATGGGGAGGGGGAGAGGGGAGTAAAAGAAAAAAAAGAGAGAGAAGGAAAGGCACGTGTCACATCACACACACAATGCCGAGTTTCACAGGCGGTCCCTCAATGAAGATGTTGTCGAGTATCTCAGGAGGGCTCGTGAGGCTTTCTGTGCTATGTGCTACGCGACCAGGCTCCTAAGATCTTTGCTTCATTAAATGGCCGGTCATCGAGTATATTCAAGGCACACTAAGTGCAAATTTCCACCGTATGCACGAGGAGAATAGTGTGAAGTGAACGATAGAAAACAAGCCTGCACTTGTATGATTGGAGAAAACTTCTCAAAGCAGCGGCACGTTCGCCTGAAGTAGAGATGCAGACGAGCTTGCACCAACGGGCTTGTGCGGTGAATTGACGTCACAAGCCGGATGGTTGTGAACCCGATGTCCAGGAGTATAGCTGTCATCATCAGAACTATAGTCGCATGGAAACTCAGCTATCGTACTTGCAGAGAGCCTCTCCTCTCTTCTTAATTTACATACCATAATAGGCAATCCACTATTAAGTGAAATCGCTTATGCTTCTTACAATAACGAACTTTTCGTAAATAATTATTTTACCAGACGTATCAAATTTTCGCTCTTAAAATGTTGTTATTATTCTGTTACATTTCGGATTTTACAGTCCAGTGCTGTAAGTTCATTCAGCGAACTCTTCAACGTCTTCATTGCTGTAACGAGGCATTATAAAGCACGACCTCTGATGTACAGATTCCCCGTAAATTAGTAGTCTATATGTGAAGCATATGATGTACGTACGTATCCTTGGGTATGAATCTCATTTTTATTTGCATCTAAGGGCTCTGCGAAAGCTTGTACACGTCCCCTCAATCAGCAGTCGTGAGAAACTTGTGTATTCCAAGTTCCCCGTCGCGCATTCCTGTTTGAGCAAATAAACCAGCTTTCCCTTTCGCAGTTTTGAATATAAGTTAGGCACCATTGTTACGAGCTGAATTCTTCGGTTCGCGACCTCACCTGTGCTCTGCTTTCATCCTTAAACTGTACTTAGATTTTTATTCGCTCATTTATTGGAATCATTGTTAAACGAATGGACTTTATCCTGTCAACCTGATGCTTCGTTCGAGCCACCGTGAAAGGAAAATACATAACGTTGAAAGCAGCGTGTGCAAAGAACTTGGACTCTTTGTTGGTATAGCACCTTTATTTTACCATGCTATCATTAGCTAGCAGCATGGTTCCCAGGAAGTGAACAGAGTGTGTTAATAGTCTGTCAAAATTGCCGGTTCTGTGACCATTCGTTGTCGAACGGCTTAAAAAGTAATCCTTTCATATGCGTCCACAGTGATGTTCTTCAGTGAAGCGCAGGGACAATTTTCACGGCAACACTCCTCCCCTTCTTACTTTTCCCGTTGTAAAGAAGCCCTGAAAGTGGCGCAAATATAAAAATAAAGCAATCATGGACTTTTAAAAATGGCCGGCATTTGGTGCTCGGCTTTCCAGGGTTGAATACGGGCAGTAAACAGTTCTTAAAATGCAATACCAAAAGCCCTTGGCAGCCTTTGGTGAGCGAGGTGAATGAACGAGTAAGAATTTAAAAGGATGCCATTTTCTGTTTACTGTCCTGGGGCATGACTGAGCGCCTTTAGGAAAAGAAAATTGAAGATTATAGAAAGAAGCAGAAAGGCTGAAAAAAAGCAATGAAGAGCGAAAAGCGCGAAATGTAAGTCTTGTCAGCACAGTCGGTAGCACGAATCCAAAGCGTTTGTTTATAAGCCGGTGAGAGGCGCCGAAGCAGATCACTCGGGGAAGGCTCGGAAGTTTCCCTCTCCGAGCGCGCAGCAAGAAACGCATCCTCCGCCATTGCCAAAGGCAGATTGAGCAGGCGTTACATGCTTACCATCACTCGAAACGTTGCATGCTCGTAAAAGTCGGGGAGCAAAGGAAACATTGGCTTCGTGTATCCGTGTTTCGCTACACAGGACATCGACAGACGATAGGCATCTGCATGGAGGTGCTACGTGAGATATCGTGCTATCTGGCAGTAATGTGAAGAAATAAAGGCTTTTTTTTAAACACAGAGCCAATTGCAAGTGGCAGTACCAGGTCCTTTTAGTTGAAGCCCCTGAAGTTTTTGCGAAGCGCACAAATGTTTCGCTTTTCGTTCAGAGTGTCCTATTGTTAGCGCAGATTAATGTATGCTTTGGTTTGTATAAGTACATATCTATGCATTTTCTAAATAAATATACACACTGCCTAACACTTCTGTAATGAAGGTTCGCCACAAATACGCGGAATATTTGTTTTTTTGTTGAAATTTTGACAAGTATGTACGCCGCCACCAGATCAAGAAAGATGGGCGTTGTGCAAGAAGTCAAACTTCCTCTGGGTGTCTGAATAATTTCGAGGGGTTAACCTTTTGCTGCGTGGCTCAAAATGCCAGTTCATTGGGAAGGAACAGCTTCAAGCTCTCCCATAATAGAGTACCTAGTACTCTAAATTGTTACTTACTATATCTAAACACACAAATCCTAGTGTAGAGTGTCAGCAAGGGACGGCTTACTGCTCTCCTATAGTTGTGTACAAAGTACTCAAAATCGTTAAACATTTTTCTAAACACACAGGAATGAGTGTTTGCTGTTTTCTTACGGGACGGCTTTAGGCTCTCCCATAGTAGAGTACCAATTACTCTAAATTGTTAACCACTTATTCTAAACACACACACATACCAAAATGGATGTATTTTAAAGAAATCCCTGCATATCCACGGAGCGAATGATGATAAGTGGGGCGTAGCGTCCGTCAGGCCATCCGTGGGACCGTCCGTGCATTTCTCCGTGTGTCAATTCAGCCGTGAGTCTGTCCGTAAGTCAGCACGTCCATCCATCCGCTCATACGCGCGTTCATCCGTGCGCGCGTCTGTCTGTCTATCTGTCCGCCTGTGCGCGCGTCTATCCATGCGTCCATTCGTCCATTCATCTGTCGGTCTGTACGTCTGTTCGTCCGTCCATAAATCTAGTGGATACTCCCAGTTCCTCCATCTCGCATCTTTTCGTTATATATTGATCATATAAAAGTACCACATCCAGCGGAAATTCAAAGGACTGAACTAGACGTGGCTACCTACTACTACTACTTCTACTTCTATTGCTACCAGAAGACAATCGTCTTTAAAACTGCCAGGCTTGTGTGAAAAGCGCTGCAGTCAAATAAAAGCTGACAAACAATCACAGCATATTCGCGGAATGAATAATTATGAGAGGGCGAAGCGCCAGAGGTACGTCGGTAAACCATGAATACCGCTCGCAGCTGTTCAAAAGTTTCAAGGAGCCTATCCTAATACGCTGCCGCGGCAAAACGTGTGAGGAACGCGCTCGGTTTGCCTAGCTGGTGAACGAGTGGAAAGAGTTTCTTGTGGGGATATTTCCAATATTACACCTTGTTGGGTACGCCCCGCATAAACGCCAGGTCTAAGTTGAGCACTTCATCCATGAACTCGCCCCGCTGTTCTCGAGTTGATTTATATGTGGGGTTTATAGTCCCAAAACCACCACATGATTATGAGAGATGCCGTAGTGGAGGGTTCCAGAAATTTCGACTACCTGGGGTTCTTTAACGTGCAACTAAATCTGAGCACACGGGCCTACAACATTTCCGCCTCCATCGGAAATGCAGCCGCTGCAGCCGGGGTTGGAGCCTACGACCTGAGGGTCAGCAGTCGAGTACCGTAGCCACTAGACCACCGCGGCGGGGCCGCCGCTCTCGCGTTACTGACGGGTGAACGAGCTGGTGATGTGAGTGAGCTCCGCAGCTCCATCTAGTGAGCACTCCAAGTACGAGCGGGTGGTTAAGACAATGGAGAGGGCCTAGCCTACGCCCTAGGAAGCTTCGCTCTCAAAAGCATCCTTCCCACAC